TTTTTTTTGATTATTTTATCATAATCTTTTTAAACAAAATTCAGTTTTTTCACTCCTCTTAATTTGGCTAGGAATTCATTATTATAAATTTCAAAGCTAATTAGGATTATGTTTCAACAACACCACCTATGATAGTAAGTTTTCATCTTCTTATAGTTCAGATATCCCTAGAATTTATTATGATATTTATCAGAACAATCATATCTATGAATTCGATTATTTTCATTTTCAAAAGTGATACTAATTGAATAAAGTAATATTTTCATTTAAAATTTATTAAACTAACTAATTAGAATAATAAACATTGATAATTGATTAATTGACATTTTCACACTTATAAACTATAAAATCAGAATAATAGCGATTAATAATTCAAATAATCTTCTAGATTTAAACATTTTTTAGTTTATTATAATGCCATATTGATCTAATTATTTTTGAATTTAGGTTATTTATTTTCAGTATGACATAGGTGATGAATTATTAAGAACTGGTAAATTTTAGATTAAAAAGGTTTTAATTTTATACATAATTAGATATATGTAACAAAAGCGTTTTAGCATTTAATATATTTGACATTAATTCCTAAAAATACACTATTGTTTTATTTCTTAGATTTAAAACAAGGAACATTAATTGAAATTGTACCAATGACTTAAATATATTTTAAAAATTCTGAAAATTGATTCTTTTAGTTTTTGGTAATCAAATGCATTCATTTTTTCTGACTCAATTGTTAATTTTTAAGGCTCTTTTTATTAATTGTAAAAGAATTTGATGAGATCTTTAAGTCTCCCTATAATCTCAATCACAAATCTATTGAGAATATTTTTATTTATTCCTATTATAATTGATCCTTATTGACTGAAAGAGTGAGCATAGTTTTTGATTGAACAGAACAAAAAGTCTTGAAATTCTTTTTAAAATCAACAAATGTTTAGATTGGGTGCTATTAAATTTTCTGAAATTCATATTCTTATCAGCATAAGATTCATTAATTAAATTTCATCAATTGAGTACATTCAGACTTTGTTTAATTAATTTAATAACCTAGTGTGTTAGATGATAGGAATATTCAAAAACACATCTGCATTAGGCACAATAAATAGATCATTGCTGTGTGAAAATAATAAAGATCTGAAGAATGGCTTAATATCCTTATTCTTTTTTATGAAAAAGGAAGTATATGAAAAATTGAAATCTATATATATACCTAAACAATTTACTATCTCTCTTAACCATTACCGACTAAAACCTTTAATTTATGTTAAGAATTCTAGATTAAGGAAACTGAATCTAAAAATTTTGCATCCTAACCAGAGATATAATTTCAAATTTACATGGACCAATCATGCTTGTCCCTGATCTTTTAACTAATAATCCATAACCAATTACTGGAAATGCAGTCACTTATTCTGAGATGAACAATTTTCTAGTCCATAAATTAATTCTTCTTTTTGTAATATCTCCTTCTAAATTTATAATGCCATAATTGATCTATTATTGAAAAACAACTTTTGTTATATCTCCATCTTTATCATCAAGTTTATGTTATTTAAGACACTTTATGAACTATTATTTGACAGTAATAAATTTGGCTATTTATTATCCTGCAATCTTTTGAGCATCGTTTTATATTTACCTATTTTGTGTCAATTCTAAATCTTTCAACTGCATCCATCTCGTTTAATAATAGCAATATAAGTTAAATTATACACCCTTTAAGCAAAGAATTTTTATAAAATAAAAAGTAAGATGCCAATATTAACATTATAGGTTAAGATGGATTCGAAGCCTGGATTAAGTTTCCATTAACAACGATCTCATAATCAAGGCTTCCCACTCAACTTCCAGACCAAACCATTGTTATGTTCTCCTCACTTCAAGGAAAACAAAAAGAATGAGTAATTTATCTTCTTCATAGGATTTAAAAGTTAATCATGAACATAGAAAGTATAGAGTGCTCTCAGATTCGTCGAAAAATGAGGTGGAAAACCATTTCCTGCCCCCATCAAATGAAATTTTATTGTATATATTCGGCATATTTTCATTATTCCTATTCATCATAAATACCTTACCCATCAGCATCAGAACCAAGTACTTTGTTACATTAATTGTTATCTCACTTTTTATACTTTCATATTAAATTTTTATAGTAAATTTTCCTAATTTGAAGGATTAAAATACTTGATTGAACTTCTAAATTATTTATTAATATATAATAGTTGAATTTATTCTGTTTTTTTTTAATTAAGCAAAAGTATTCGACTTAGTATTGCTATTAGAAAAAGTCAGCATTATTTCATATTGAATATAAATATATTTTGAGATCCACATAATTAAATGCATCGTTAGTCACACTTACAAAAGAGTAAATAGTGACAATTATATATAACGAGGAAGGTACACTATTATTCTTAAATATCGGTTATAACTAAAGAAAAAATTAAAGTTCAAACATCATATGTTTACACGTAAGTTAATTTGTCGCTAACAGAGTCAAGAGTTTATGTGAAAGTATAACATCCATAATTAATATATTTTTATTACTAATACTGAAAAAATTTGTATTTTGTCACGAATATCATTTTCCTTTTAATCCCCTCTTAATCTAAGCCTTAAAAGGCGTTTCTATAAGTTTTTTCCTTAAAGTTAAAATTATCGTTGTAAAGTTTAAATCTCAAAGAGTTGCATGCCGTTTGAACTTTACAAAGGTTACATTCATAGTGATGATTTATCCTTCCCTCATGAAATTGCTGTTTTTAACCATAATAACTCATTCTCCTCCATTTAGTTAAAAAGCAATTCAATTCGAAAAACCAGGTTTTCAATATAAAAAGCACAAAGGATATTGTTAATTAACTATGCGACTTATGATTTGATGTTCTCAAATCATTTACATATATTCTCAGAAGAGACTATCTTATTTTATTTTAATAAATTTTGAGCACTATACTTTTAGGAACCATTCAAGATATTTCGAATTAAGGTAAACATGAGTTTTGGTTCTTATACATAACTATCAAAATCAAATAGTTTGATCTATGTTGATTTTCTTACAACAACAGATGAAGAAATGATTGCAATATTAAAGAGATTGCCTATATGTTTTGTAAAAGTAATGCATACTATGAATTTATATCTTCGCTATTCAATATTTATTTAATCCTTTTGGCATAATGAATGCGGTGTTATATCAAAGTTATTTAATTTAAGAAAAAGCCTAAGAATGAAAAAATTATTAATGATTGACAAATTACATTTTATCATATTAGAAAAGTAAAATTTGTTAAAAAGCTTAATTACATACACGCCTCAAAAACTGTATTATACTCAACAATTAGAGCCTATACTTCATTTTAGATAATTACATTGACCTAATCCTTGAAATAATCTTCTAGAAAATCTCCCCACATAAATGCTAAAAAATAGTTCATAATTTTGAAAAACAAAAAAGTTTAAATAATTTTAGTCTATAAATTTCAAGCTTATTATTTAAAATAACATCATCTCTAATTTTATTTCTAAAGTCAAGTAGTAATCATTCAAAATTCTAGTATTATTTCTTCAAGAACTTTAGGATTGAAAATCGATATAAACTAATATGTAAGTTTTGAGAATAATGTGAGAATCATGAAAGTATATATTCTTATATTTTAAATAGCCATATAATCTAGTTGATGCATTTGTAGGAAGAGGTAGAAATATAGCAATAAGTAGATAATAAACAAATAATTTTATCATTATATAGCATGAACTGCCATATTTCAAGGCAAAAAGTCGTTTAAATAAATTTTTTCTTTAGATGATGTGGATATTGTAATTGATTAGACTATTATTTTTACTATTATAAAAACCATACTGTATAAAGAATTGAATTCAAGGTGACTTTTAAATAAATTATTTATTAAATATTACTCAAAAGAAGTGTAATGAATATAGGACAAGAAATGCCTACAATTAATTTTAAGGTAGCAGTTTGGACAGGAGGGCTATGTTTATTTTTCTATGTCGCTTTAAATTGTTTAGGTTTCTCTTCAAAAGGTCCAAGAAAAAATAGTTATGCGTCCAATTTTTAGTCTAGTTATGGAAATATCCCCAAAGGAAGTTTATTTTCGAATTTCTAATCATCAGGATAACATTTCACACCAATAATAAAGACAATTTTTGTTAGTGGTCTTGCAATTTTTATCTGGAAGATTGTGTTTTGAATTATAATTCACATATATATTCAATAATCATTTAAAGTTATTACTTCTTAATTTATTTTATATTACGGGTTTGGTTTTTTTTAAAACCCTTCCAACCTAAAATATCAATAATATGATCTTGGCTGATAAAAAAGTGAGACCCTACAAGTGTTGATGATGTAGTTGGTAAAGCGACAAGTATATTTTTATTCTTGATAATTGATTTTAATTCAGTCAAAACTAAAATATAGATTGTCAATCATGAAACAAATAAATAAAAATAACAGCCTTAATATATTGATTTTCCAAAAATTTTAAATTATAAATAAATTATGAAAATAGGTAATTTTTAGAAATATTGCAATAAATCGATCCTAAAACAGCTCATAACAAATACTTTACATAAAAATAGCATTCGGTTTGAATCACTTTAATAAACGCTTTCAAATTCATAACAATATTGGAAGCTGCTTCATTAAAAAACTTGTGATTTTAGAATACCAAAAATGTATTAGGAAATTACCCAACAAATAATACTATTACAATTAATTAATTGTGAATTATAAATAACCTCAAGGTGGTGAAGAATTAAATATTACTCTTTCATTTTTAGTACTATATTCAACAGAGGAATTCATAACTTTTTGCTACACTTCTAATCTATCATAAATAATAAAATTGTATGCAGATTGTATAAACTGATTTTCAATTTTATGTTTAACTAAAATTATGATAAGAATAGTTAAGTAATATGGATTATAAAATACATTGGTTAGTCTCAATATTTTATTTATAATTAAAAATTATATATGATGCTGAACCTATCCAGAGTTTTCAAGTTTAAGAGAATTTTTCAATATTATCAAAATCCTTCTCTAAAATTTAGATAGAATTATTGGTTACTGAGAAACAATACTTTTATATAGCTTGAATATAGATAATTAAATTATAAAAAAGAATTAAAAATTAATTTCCATAAACCACATAAAAAGCAAAACTGCTGCTAGTGATTCGACAATAAAAATTAAATAAATATTAGATATTGTTATGAATTGGCACAGTCACGCTGAGGTGCAAAGTTAAATTATAGAAGGAAACTGATACTTTAACCAAAGGAACTCATATTGTTACCATATACCTCTGTATAATTATTAAACAATGTTTTAAATAATAATTTATTTATAGTTAATTCATCCTTTTAAAATATATATTTCTTGATTGGTTTTTACCCAAAGAATGGCATTTAGTAAAATGGAAGAGCAATTAAATTTATTCACAAAATACTTAGAAGATATCCAGCATTTAAGAAAAAGTCATAGTTATTTTAAATTGTTAAAATACTATATTTATTGACCCTCTTCGATGAAATGCACATGCTCCTTCTTTTGATAATAGTTCCCAAATTATATTGGAACATGAAAAAATAATGATTTTATGAAAATCATAAATAGCTCTAGAATATTATTTGGAAGCATAATTCATGCATTTATATTTTAGGATGCACAATTAAGTGAAATGATTATTTTGATTAGTCTAAATTAACTCATTACTTTTATTTAAAATTGATTGGAAAGATTATTTGAGATCTAAAAGATTTAAATATTTATGTTCTCAAGTTATTAGCATAGTCTTTCTAGAGTAATAATAGAGAAAGCTAAGCATAAACCTACAGATTTAACTCATTTTTAAGTAATATTAGAATTTATAGAGGAAATACCTAGTTTTTGTTCATTATATTTGTATAAATATCGAAACTTTCTTAAAATATTGGAGTGCAGTTTCCATACCAACAATTTATTTGATCTTTTACAGATTTTCACAATTAATGATAAAGTATAATTATATAAAATTTATGCTAAGACTTTTTGATTTAAGATCATTTAATTCGATTCTCATTTTCTTCTTTCAAATAGAAAGAAAAATCATAACAAATTAACTGATCTCACTTATTAATAAAGGAATATAACTCTAACAATTAATTGTATGTATATTGATAAACGAGGGAATTCATAGTTAGTCTCTTGGTAAAACAGTTTAGCCTCAATAGACTCAGAATAAGAAAATGAAAAGTTGATAGATTTGCCATACCACCTTATTTGTATAATTTTGATATCAAATGAGAGCTAATTTAGTTTTCTCGGACAGAGATTTGTATCTCTAATATTATATTACTTATATTTGAGTATATCATTTAGTCTATTCGGGGAATATGTTTTCATTTTGAAAAGTGGAATTAGAGACCTACTCTGCCCTTTAAATAAGTTATCATACGCTGTGGAGAGTCATTCTATTTTGTCCTGATTTTTAGCTAAGGCAATGGCTTCTCTAGCTTCTGTTACATATCAATTTTGTTCTAACAAACAAGAATTTAGCAATTGAATTCATATAATAAGATAAAAACTAAAGCACTATTCTTCAATCCCAAAACTTTTGCTTACATTATCTCTCTTAAATTTGATTTACTCATTCACCTTTTAAGCCTCCTTGATTCTCTCATCATTGAAATATGTCAACCAAAATATAATACCAGCTCCACCTTTTGTCTTGAAAAAGTTCCATTTATTCAGAGTTCTTGTGCGAAAACTATTTGTAGTTTTCCATCGCAATCTCCTACTTCACTAACTTCCTCCTAGAATAATACTGGTTTTCTGGTTGAGAAACTCTTTGTCTGAATGATGAGATTATATTTCAAGTGCTCATTAATGCATTATTTTGATTGATTCTGATTTTTAAATGGATAAACTTCTATATATTTTAGTAATGTTGTCAGTAATTGAAGAATTAAAAGTAATATATATTAGTAAGTTTTTTTCTAATCATTCAACTTTGCAAGGTAGTGTTAAATGAATTTTATTTTTCTAATATTAATTCGTGGTTTTAGTGAATACAATTGGCAAAGGTCTATTTCTTCAATAGCAACTAATTTATACTAAAAATGTCCAAACATTTAATCAAACATTTAATTCGATAAATTATAATANAAAAAATATTAGAAATAAAATTTAAGTAAAAGATATATTAAGATTATGATTCTTTAAATATTATCCAAGTATTTAAATTATCTAATTTATTAGGCAAGTAAAGAAGCAATATCAAGTTATTTATGTGATCTATCAAAAAAATATCTTAGTTCAAATTAACCTAATTTAGATTTTAAGTTTATAAGCAATTTAACAACCTAAAACAATTAAGTCCTAAAATAACACCTTACTTATTCTGTTACTAAAGATATTAGAATAACAAATATGCTTAAAGCAGCTCACGTTGTGATGTAGATATTTTGTAATCAATTGAACGACTTTTTTTTAATTTTAACTGAAATCCTAAAGGAAGAATAAATTGTTTTTTGTAGTGAAAATAAGAGTATTTTAGTTTAGGTTTGTTACTTTTTCCATAAAATAATTTACCCTTTTATTTATACCTAACCTGTGAAATATTATACCGATATGGATACATTTTAAGAAATTTCAAACTAAGAAAGACCTTTTATATTTGGAATAAATAAAAGCTTTAATGAATTTAGAGGTGACCTCTCTCAATAAAACTGTCCAACTATTGTTGAATTGAGTAACATGAAAGCTACCATACACTAATTTACTCCTATTGATCCGAATCAAATAAAATAGTTATTTCCGGATGATGAATTTCAAGATATCTTCAACAATTATACAAAAGACCCCTTAAATCTTTAAATAAAAAAATGTTAGATTTTGTTATCTAGAATTAAGATGAAAATAGAGAATGATGTTCTTAAACAAATGGAATTAAGTCAAGATCCAAAGTTTGTAAGCGATGGTGAATTAAATCAAGGGATTATTATAGATTGTACAAATAAGAAACTTTCAGAAAATAAGAATAGAACTCTTTTAATGGATATTTTTCGGACCACATATTTTTAAACCTATTTGAAACATCAATAAAAATGTAAATTTTGATGAATTATGAATAATAAAAATAATATTATTAATTATGATATTCATAATGTATAAAATATACAAAGGGCCTTGTTTGATTTACAACAAAAAGAGAGTATTGGATTTAAATTTTGATTTGGTAAAGCTACATTATCTTTCTTTGTATTTTGAAGATTCACTAATTTAAGACCAAGGTAATGATAGAAATTACCAATTAAGAATTGTTGGATGAATGATCCTATGCTTATAGGTCTATGGCTTCTATACTCATTGAACTAGTGGATATTATGATGACGTGGTTCAAAAGGTAAGTTGCATGCATCAGAAGCATTCAATCAATGCCTTTGACATAGACTTTATCAGGAATTACAAAAAAAGATATAAGATCTATCGTGGAACATAAAAAATCAAAGTTGGAATTTTTCATCGATCTCTGAATTCACGATATGCGAATGTATAGTAATATTAATAAACAATATAATCAAATGAGCCTCTAATGCTAATAAAAATAGATCTTTAATATAAAAACAATAAAAAAGATGGTAAAATTTATTAACATTTTAAGTATCCTGATCAAAATAAATTCAGAACTCAAATAAAATATAATTAAGAAATTCTTAAATTTAAGTATTAAATTAATTAGATAAAGTATATGAAAATTGCAGTGATACCACACTCATATCAATAAATGGAGATATATGTAACTTATGATCACAACAAGATTTAGATAAAATAACAAGGGTACTTGCGAAATATGTCGCTTAATTAAATTAGAAATTATTCATTAATTAACCAAAATATATTTGCAATTCTATAAAAAGAATTGCAATATATATTCATAATAGAAAGAATAGTATCTTTTAATTTTGCTTTTTAACTGAAGACTGAACGTTACTATTTTCTTTATTGATATTTAAATTATATTTACATCCAAATATTTAAGAGTCCTCATAAAATAATATTAGATAAACTTTTGGGTTCCACACACACACAAAATAATAAAATCTTCAATAATAGTCTAATATCAATGTCATGTTTTAAGGGGTTTTATTTCAAAGAATTCTTAATCATCAAATTTTTGTAATATTGAATTTAGGTTTTCGCTTTTAATTTATTATGGCCTTAATAGAAATGATCATGATTTTTAAATAATAGAATACTTTAATATTAATTTATTTATTATGAAAAACCCATAAATTATTTAATAATATTCTTAAATATCAAACGATAGCGCAAGCTAATATTTTTATTTAAGATTTTTAATGAAGACCAACACATGGATATAATTCTTATGATGTATCTATTTCCAACTACTAATAATGAATTTCATAGTTACAACAAATGTTGCTGTCGCTTGTGGATTATTCTATCTACTCCATTTAATATATTTATCTTCAATACTTACTTCCATTCTTATTATATCATTATTTGTAAATTTAAATGATAATTCCTTATTATGTACATCTTTGTTATGATGAGACCAACTTCGACCATCATTTAAGATTAAATATGTTCTATTATGATTTATTATTATTATACCCATACCCAGCATGATAACAATCGTAAAAATTATTTTTTTGCATTATATCTCTAAATCCTATTCCAACAAACCATTATGATCCAGTAAGTATTTAGAATGTAAATTGTATTTTCCCAGTTTTTGGAATTGCTTATTCACAAACACAAAAATAATAACATGAATTTCCAACACTAGAAACCAGTTTGGCTGCTTCACTTACTTAACATTCACTATGTTTATAAGTATTTGAAAATGTTAATGTTTTATTATACTGTTGAATCTAAAAAGAATAGAATGAAAGGAAATTTACTTTATCTAATTCCATTTTGTTAATTTTCTCTTATTCTAACTTATCTTTATGAATTTAATCAAGTTTCTATAATGCATCTTTTAGTTCTGAATCCTTTTAATTGATTCTTTTATTATAATCTGATTTGATCTTATTTTCTATAGATAATATTAGAATTTAATACATTCATCTTCTGATTATTTAATCATTTGCTTCTTATCTTATTCATATTATTATTTCAAATTGATATTTTCTGAATTAACTAAATCAAATTATTGTTTAATAGTTTAATATTCTTTCTCTTTAGATTCTAATGTTTCATTTATTTGAATGATTTTCTATTCATATGACTATTACAATGAATCGATTTGATTGTTTTCTATTTATCATAATAATAAAATTACTTTCAATTTGTATTTATTTATTGGTTTCTGATAATTTGATTAATTCTTATTCCATTAATTGAATATTGCAATACTTTTTCAATTGTGAATTTTTATTTTCAAATATATTTGAGTATTCATTCAAAATATTACTTAAATTTAAATATTAAGCCTTAATCTATTCTGATAAATTTGATTTATTAGTATCTTTTGATATTAATTCAATATGTTATGAAATCTATTATAATTTTTGAACATTTTATTAATAATTTGAAATAGTCTAATCGAATACATTTGAAAGTAATTGATAATTCGTTGCTTAATGAATAAATTCTTGAATCTCCTTTATAAAATTAACTTAATTTTTCTGATTTTCTTCATTTTATCCACTTTTTTAAATTTATTAAATTGTTTCAGTTAACTAAAGAATTAATTTTCTTTCAACTATAAAAATTAAATCAAATTAATACCTGAGATACCTTTGAGAATGTCTAATGATTATGAAATATCTTATTAATCATATTATTTTAAAGATTCTAAATGAACTTAAATCTCTTTATAGAAGATTGAATCTTTATTTTTTTCATTAATTATAGTTTAATTAAATGATACTTTCTCTTTTTCTTTTTCTATTAATTATTTTAAATCTTTAATTAATTATTCATCATCTAATGTTTATATGGAGAGTTTCTTTATTGAATTTGATTATTTAGGTTTATCAATACCTAAGAATTATTCAGAAATCAATTTATCACTAATTTCATTTAATTTCTTATTATAATTCGTTCTAAATTTAATTACTTAATTAATCAAATCAGATTTTTTGTTTTTGCTCTCCTTTTTATACTCTTTTAATATTTTGTCAGATTCTTCATTGTATTCCTTCCATTATTTATTAACATCTTCAATTGTATAATATTTTATTTATGGATTCGCAGAAATACAATCAACACATACAAATCGATCTTCCATTTCCTATTTCTATGAATCCATATCAATCATTATAATTTCCTTTTTATGAATGTTACAAACTCTACTTAAACATGGTGTTTTCTATTCATTTTTTATATATTTTATATACATATTCATTTTTAGATGTTTAAATAGGAATCAATTCAATAATATTATTTTCTTTAATATCCTTTATTGTTTCTTTCGTATTCTTAAATGTATCTATAGTTGAAAAATATTCAGTACAATTGAATAATAATTCAAATTGTCTTTAGATTTCATCTATAAAATTATTGTCATCTTCTAATTTAGTTGATTTCTATTATCCTTAAGAATATAATTGTGATAATTGTTTTAAATCTTCAAAGTAATTGAATTGTTAATCATAATCTAATAATTCTTATTTTTCTTTTTAAATGGGAAATATATATTATTAAATTTGTTAATACATCTTATCCAAAGAATTATTAATAGATTGTTTAAAATCCATAATTTGATCTAATATATTTTTATAATAATTGAGTCTTGCTTGATTCTCTTTATTTTTGATATCCTTTTATTAAGTTTTAAATTATATGATTCTTTCTTTTGATTACTCTATTGTTGTCACCCTATTATTATTTAATTTGTCAACTAAACATTTACCACAAAAGAATTGCATCTATGACTTATCAGATAAGTCTAAATCCACTGCAATCAATTCTAAATTGTGAATTTTACAAATCGTGTCTTATTGCACTTCCTGTGTTTAATTTTACTTTAAAATATTCATTTCTAATAATTTTATTATTAATTCTTTTATCTAATAATTAAATAATTTGCATATTTATTATAGACATATCAATATTATAGAAATGTTATTCAGGTTTGAAGTGATTTCATTTAATTACTAGAGATGGTATCCTATATTTAGAGGAATCATAAATTCTTATCAAAGAAATGACATTTTAATTGCTCATTATACTTAATTGTTTCATTTATTTAGTGCATCAATAACACAACTGGAAGATACTAAAACGATTATCTCCGTTTTTGCTTAATTTTTTAGTTGAATAAATCTTATATAGTATTTTATGACCTTAGTTAATTTTTAATTGATTTTAAATCTTACATTTTGTTATTCTTTTAGGATAGAAATTAATCCTGCAATGAAAATTTCATATGAAAGATCTTTCTTCTTTAATTTGCTAGCTAACTAATGGGATTTAAAATTTCACTAATTTTCTCAAAGATTTTGAGAATTTCAATAATAAGAATTTTTACTTTTATTTTATAAATCAAACTGTTGCTTTGAAAGAAGGTAGTATGGGTGTTTTCATTCAGCAAAATAAATAGTAATGGATATTAGAATTATTTCTATTTAGTGAATTTAATCAATTTTTCATCGATGATATCAAAGATTTCTTCAAATTAACATCAACTTGATTAAAATAATTAATTACCTGCTTTATTAGATACATAAACTTTAATTAACACTTTAGAAAATCAAATTATTGGGGTTAATGGCAGAAAGTGATACTAATTTCCGATATTAGAATAATTATCTCGAGGACGAAATATTTACAAATATAGTATCGAAATACTTTAGATTATCGTTTGTTATGAATTTTATCCTTTTAAATAAGAAATTCTAAATTAATTGTGGAATTCTTTAGCATGATCGAAGACACATAAATAAAATTGAGTTATTACCAAACTATTTAATGGATATTTCTAACTAGTGTAATTTATTATAGTAAGAGATGAAATAGTTAATTTAAGTAATTACTGAGCTTTTTGATTAACTTGAAAAGTTGGTATTAAAAAGATTCTAATGAGTGTAAAAAAATTAAAAGATTAGGATGAAAACAAATAGAAGTTGCATTAAGTAATATGATAAACTTTGATGAATTTTAACGCAGGTTAATTTAATAACTGAACACTTCTTCTGATTACATGATCCAAACTTTAAAATCGTTTATTTAAGAGTTAGAAGTACATTTCATATTATTAAGAAAATATTAATTAATTTTTGTTAGGTAATGATGAAGTATCATTATTTTATTATCTAGCAGATTAAAGTATAGAAATATGAAATTTTACGTTCCGTTCATTTATAGGAGAATAAATCTTAATGTAAAATAATTGCCTTTAATAATAATTCTTCAATTATAGCAATGGATTTATCAAATAAAATTAAAATGTACCGGTTTAATAAAGGATAATTACATTTACTGTAAGTAATTGATCTTTTAGAAGTAAATTAAATAACTCACTTACAGTTTTTGAAATAATCGAACCAATTCGTACTTGGAAGTGAGTTTGGAGATGTAATGCTTTGGTATGGAAATGAAAACCTATATTATACTTATTAATTTATAAGGAGGAGAAATATTTGGGAGTTTGTTTCCTCATCTCCACAGTATAATTTCATAATCAACGATTAGGAAGATCTGATTATTTAGTCGAGAGGTAAGGCTTTTAAATTTTATGAGAAATAATAAAACTGGAATTGCACTTAGAAAATTCAAACCCAATCAAAAATAATGTGTTATAGCATAAATTAATCATCAAATATGTTAGTCTCTGCTTGTTAAGATCATGTAGAAATTTTTAAAATAGAAAAAAAATAGCTTTGGATGCTTATATAAACTATCCATTTAGATTAGTGGGGATATCGTATATGTATCTTTGAGGATGATTTTTTTGCTTTTTAACCTAATCAAATTATTGTTTAATAGTTTAATATTCTTTCTCTTTAGATTCTAATGTTTCATTTATTTGAATGATTTTCTATTCATATGACTATTACAATGAATCGATTTGATTTTTTTCTATTTATCATAATAATAAAATTACTTTCAATTTGTATTTATTTATTAATTTCTGATAATTTGATTAATTCTTATTCTATTAATTGAATATTGCAATACTTTTTCAATTGTGAATTTTTATTTTCACACATTTTTGAGTATTCATTCAAAATATTACTTAAATTCGAATATTAAGACTTAATCTATTCTGATATATTTGATTTATTAGTATCTTTTGATATTAATTCAATATGTTATGAAATCTATTATAATGTTTGAACATTTTATTAATAATTTGAAATAGTCTACTCGAATACATTTGAAAGTAATTGATAATTCATTGCTTAATGAATGAATTCTTGAATCTCCTTTATAAAATTAACTTAATTTTTCTGATTTTCATCATTTTATCCACTCTTTTAAATTTATTAAATTGTTTCAGTTAACTAAAGAATTAATTTTCTTTCAACTATAAAAATTAAATCAAATTAATACCTGAGATACCTTTGAGAATTTCTAATGATTAGGAAATGTCTTATTAATCATATTATTTTAAAGATTCTAAATGAAATTAAATCTCTTTATAGAAGATTGAATCTTTATTTTTTTCATTGATTATTGTTTAATTAAATGATACTGTCTCTTTTTCTTTTTCTATTAATTATTTTAAATCTTTAATTAATTACATAAGAATTATTCAGAAATCAATTTATCACTAATTTCATTTAATTTCTTATTATAATTCGTTCTCATTTGAATTACTTAATTAATCAAATCAGATTTTTTGTTTTTGCTCTCCTTTTTATACTCTTTTAATATTTTGTCAGATTCTTCATTGTATTCCTTCCATTATTTATTAACATCTTCAATTGTATAATATTTTATTTATGGATTCGCAGAAATACAATCAACACATACAAATCGATCTTCCATTTCCTATTTCTATGAATCCATATCAATCATTATAATTTCCTTTTTATGAATGTTACAAACTCTACTTAAACTTGGTGTTTTCTATTCAGTTTTTATATATTTTATATACATATTCATTTTTAGATGTTTAAATAGGAATCAATTCAATAATATTATTTTCTATAATATCCTTTATCGTTTCTTTCGTATTCTTAAATGTATCTATAGTTGAAAAATATTCAGTACAATTGAATAATAATTCAAATTGTCTTTAGATTTCATCTATAAAATTATTGTCATCTTCTAATTTAGTTGATTTCTATTATCCTTAAGAATATAATTGTGATAATTGTTTTAAATCTTCAAAGTAATTGAATTGTTAATCATAATCTTATAATTCTTATTTTTCTTTTTAAATGGGAAATATATATTATTAAATTTGTTAATACATCTTATCCAAAGAATTATTAATTGATTGTTTAAAATCCATAATTTGATCTAATATATTTTATAATAATTGAGTCTTGCTTGATTCTCTTTATTTTTGATATCCTTTTTGTTTAATTTTCTTTCTCCTTAGATTCTAATATTTCATTTATTTGAATGATTTTCTATTCATATGACTATTACAATGAATCGATTTGATTGTTTTCTATTTATCATAATAATAAAATTACTTTCAATTTGTATTTATTTATTGGTTTCTGATAATTTGATTAATTCTTATTCCATTAATTGAATATTGCAATACTTTTTCAATTGTGAATTTTTATTTTCAAATATATTTGAGTATTCATTCAAAATATTACTTAAATTTAAATATTAAGCCTTAATCTATTCTGATAAATTTGATTTATTAGTATCTTTTGATATTAATTCAATATGTTATGAAATCTATTATAATGTTTGAACATTCTATTAATAATTTGAAATAGTCTAATCGAATACATTTGAAAGTAATTGATAATTCATTGCTTAATGAATGAATTCTTGAATCTCCTTTATAAAACCAACTTAATTTTTCTGATTTTCATCATTTTACCCACTCTTTTAAATTTATTAAATTGTTTCAGTTAACTAAAGAATTAATTTTCTTTCAACTATAAAAATTAAACCAAATTAATACCTGAGATACCTTTGAGAATGTCTAATGATTATGAAATATCTTATTAATCATATTATTTTAAAGATTCTAAATGAAATTAAATCTCTTTATAGAAGATTGAATCTTTATTTTTTTCATTGATTATTGTTTCATTAAATGGTACTTTCTCTTTCTCTTTTTCTTTTTCTATTAATTATTTTAAATCTTTAATTAATTATTCATCATCTAATGTTTATATGGAGAGTTTCTTTATTGAATTTGATTATTTTGGTTTATCAATCCCAACCCCAAACCCAACCCCAATCCCAACCCCAAACCCAAACCCAAAATGAACGTTAATTTCTATAAATTATACTGTAATAGGAATATATCTTGATCTATGGTTCATAAAGTTAAGTTAATATTTCATCTCTCATAAAAGGGATAAATAAAATTTCAACTTTTAATTAATAACAGTCCTTAATTTGAAATTAATGAAACTTTCATTATATCATATAATATTATGATGGAACTCTAATTCAGAAAAAATAAAAGAAATATAAGATTTAATTTGGGAAGATTCAACTAAAAGCATAAATTAATTAATTAGTTTCTTCCTTTCAGTTGTTATAATTAAACTTAAACTACTTAATGTTGATTAAATATATATATCATGGCATTATTTATAAATTATTTAAAATATTCTTAAATATCAAACGATAGCGCAATCTAATATTTTTATTTAAGCTGTTTAATAAAAACCAACACATGGATATAATTCTTATGAGGTATCTATTGCCAACTACTAATAATCAATTTCATAGTTACAACAAATGTTAATTGTGGATTATTCTATCTACTCCATTTAATATATTTATCTTCAATACTTACTTCCATTCTTATTATATCATTATTTGTAAATTTAAATGATAAATATTTATCATGTACATCTTTGTTATGATGAGACCAACTTCGACAATGATTATCGATTAAATATGTTCTATTATGATTTATTATTATTATACCCATACCCAGCATTATAACAATTGCCAAAATTATTTTTTTGCATTATATCTCTAAATCCTATTCCAACAAACCATTCTGATCCAGTAAGTATTTAGAATGTAAATTGTATTTTCCCAGTTTTTGGAATTGCTTATTCACAAACACAAAAATAATAACCTGAATTTCCAACACTAGAAACAAGTTTGGCTGCTTCACTTACTTAACATTCACTATGTTTATAAGTATTTGAAAATGTTAATGTTTTATTATACTGATGAATCTAAAAAGAATAGAATGAAAGGAAATTTACTTTATCTAATTCCATTTTGTTAATTTTCTCTTATTCTAACTTATCTTTATGAATTTAATCAAGTTTCTATAATGCATCTTTTAGTTCTGAATCCTTTTAATTGATTCTTTTATTATAATCTGATTTGATCTTATTTTCTATAGATAATATTAG